TTGATTTAATCTTTTATAAATAGCAATTGTTTTTTTATTATTTAGAATTTGTCCGGGTTTTGCCAGCAAGTATAGTTGGTACGCGTCGTTATCGCGAAATCTACGGACAGTGCTTAGGGACAGTGCAGTCACATGATGTAAGAAGAAGTTTTCAAATCTTTAAATCGAAATATCTCGGTATCTACCTGACCAAATTCGATGAAAATTTTTTTGAATGAATTCTATGTATCCATAGAATTCAAATAAAAAAAAATTCATCGAATTCGGACAGGTGGCTATGGAGATACCTTTGCTCAAAGTTAGAGAAAAATCAAAACACCTATCAAAATATAAGTTGCGCCAATATTTTAAAAATTTGAGCGAAGATACCTCCACAACTACCTAACCAAATTTAATAATTTATTTTTTATTTACATTTTATGAGTTCAAAGAATTAAAATAAAAAATTTTATCGAATTTGTCTGGGTAGTAGTGGAGATAATTTCACTCAAATTATTAATTTTATATTGATAGACGTTTTGATTGTTTTGATTCTTCCTTAAATTTGAGCAAAGATATCTCCACAACCACCTAACCAAACCCGATAAATTTTTTTATTTTAATTCTAAGAGACCATAAAATTCAAATAAAAAAAATATATCGAATTTGGTCCGGTGGTTGTGGAGATATCTTCGCTCAAAGTTTTAAAAAAATTGGCACGACTTATATTTTGATAAGCGTTTTGATTTTTCTTTAACTTTGAGCAAAGATATCTCCATAGCCACCTGTCCGAATTCGATGAATTTTTTTTTAGTTGAATTCTATAGATACATAGAATTCATTCAAAAAAATTTCCATTGAATTTGGTCAGGTGGATACCGAGATATTTCGATTTAAAGGTCTGAAAACTTCTTCTTACATCATGTGACTGCACTGTCCGTAGATTTCGCGCGTCGTTATTATAGTCGCGACCACGTGATGATATGCGCTAAAAATTTCATTGGCCAATTTTGACAAAATTATATGGTGATCCATATCGATATGATATTTAGTGAACATCCAAGATTTATATAAAGTTAATAGGGCCCGGTACAGGCAGAAAAATCGAGGGATTCAAAAAAGGGCAAGATACATATATGATAAATTTGATAACTACAAGAAAAAACCTAAGAGAAGAAACTACAAGAGAAATTTAAAATATAGATTATATGCCTATATATTGAAAATCATTCATAAATAACGTCACTTGATTTATCACCTCAAGGTTTTGTGATTTGTACACATAATAGCAGGACATTGAGTTTCAATTAATCCGTTCCATTTTTCATGTGCTGTGGAGTTTTCTATTAGAGGTGCTATGATTTGAGTTTTAAGTGACTCGAAGTTGAATTAAACAGTCTCACCGATGTAGAGAGTAACTTAGTTTATTCTAAATAAGAAATTCTATATACATACAATACATAAAATTCTACTGACCAGGGTTTGCACTTTAAAAACTCATTTTGACGAATTTTATTATTTCTATATTCGACTCATAATCAGTACATACTCAACCACTTCATCAATACTGCAATAATTTCACATTTATTTGGGAATTTCAAAAATTGGGCGCATTTTTGCAATGTCGAAAATATTGAAACCCCCTATTAGATTTATTTGTTACGTATCAGGTATCAGGTATGCAATTAGATATGTACGTACGCATTTACGTAAAGTTCATAGTATTTAAAGGGATTGGATTTTTCAGACACGCATAGTATTTTTTTTTACCAGGATGTGCAGATGTCGATCCATCTGAATAGAATTCGGGGCACAGGGTCCTTAGGCATCATATCATGCCTTTAGGTGCCCAAACCCTATCGCTATCGCCAAAACTACATTGCGCATATAGATACATATAAGTTTACGTAAAAAGGGTGATAACGATTTTATTGGCCCAACTCCTGAACATTGAAACATGATTTTCTTTATTATGCCGCCTCCCTTTACATTAAGATTTGAAGATTACTATACGTATAAGTTTTGGTTTTTTTTCTTTTCTTTTTTTTTTTTTTTTTTATTAATTTAAAATAAAATCAATAAAATAAAAAGTACCGGTAAATTTTAATATTTTTTGTCTTTGCTTTTTTCTCTTCATTCTAAATTGAGAATGCAAAATACGTAACAGGTAACGTACGTACGTACGTACGTTACGTCTCTACGTTAACCATACTAAATACAAATACAGTAAATTAATGAAATTTGTTTAATGAATCATTGTCTACTGAGTAATTTTATCGTTATTGAGAATAGTGTGGCATCGCTATATATGATATAGACCCTAAAAACTCTAATGCTGTAATGTCTGAATATGTCCATTGTTTGTTGATACTTTATTATTGGGTCTCATGGTCACGACCATGTGTCATTAGCATTAGATCCTGTTTGACAACCTTGTTTATATAAATAGTCTGCTAGTAAATGCAAAAACGAGTTATTATTTTCAATCAATTCTATCGTTCGACATCCTTTTGAACTTTCTCTACGAATTTTTGTTTGCATGACCGAATCTATATCTCAAGCGGTCAACAATGAGACTTTCAACATCGATAACGATTTGACCTTTGGATCTATCGATGCTAATTTTTCTAAAGGCTTGGACGGCTTAGAAAAAAATGTTTCTTCATTTTTACAAGACGTCAGACAACCTCCCTCTTTCAATGGAAGAAGGTTATCTGATGCAAATGAGTTAAGAATTAATCGAAATAAACGTGGTTCTCGTTTGAATTCTGGTGTTCCATCGAGAACAACTCAAATGACTTTGAAAGAACAAGAACGGGTAAATCTCTTCTTATTTTTTCATTTATTTATTCTTTAATTTATTAAATTTCTGTTAAACTTTTAATATAGGTTGTTGATGAGATTAAAAAGGAAAATTTCGGTTTAAAGATGAAAGTATATTTTTTAGAAGAACGATTGAGTAAAACTGGTCCTGATGAAATGGTATTTATAATATATATTCATTACTCATTCTTTATTATATTACCTATTAAATTAATTAAAAAATTATTTTATTTAGGAAAGGGCTTTAAAAGAGGTTGGAGAATATATGTAGCGTGATAGTTACTATTTTGCCTGATATAAGCTTCTTTACTTTATAAATTTCTTTATTCATCCTTGGTCCACTTCTTTATAGAATATTGAAATAAAAGTCCAAAATCAGAATCTTAAAAACGAAATAAAAGAATACAAAAACGAATACAATAAATTATTAAAAACTTTTCAACAGAATGGTACTGATTGTCTTTTACAGCATGGTATGTCACCAGCTGAAGAAGCTGATTTTAATAGAGCTATTAGTCGGACAGAAGAACTTAGTCAAGAGAATAATCGTATTCATCGCAAGCTCGCTGAACAACAAAGTGAAGTTAAACGTCTTCGTGAATTAATAAAGTTAACAAAACCTGAATTTAATTTTGATGATGAGACTTCATTGGACTTATTTGGATCAAGTACTGAACATCAACAATTGAAAGAGTTGATAAATCGTGACCAAAATACTAAGTTAAAAGAGACATTGCGTAAAGAAAGGGATGAAGCTGAAGGACTTCGGCAACAGATACTTGATCTTAAAAATCAATTGACTGAATCAAATTTGGAATTAAAGCGGTTACAAGATGCTCCAATGGTCGATGATTGGGATATGGGTAGAAAAATAAATGATGCTGCTGATAAAGCAAGGCAAGATGAGATTGAAAAATTAAAAGAGGTAGGTTACTGTTTAAGTCTGTTTAAATCTATTTGAATTTAAATCTGGCTCACTCTGTTTAAATATGTTTGAATATCCCATCGCATCCATAAATTACTATAAATAGCAAATTACTAATCTTGACAAGCAATTGGCTTCCCGAACAAATGAAAATGATGATTTATATTCTGAATTCGAAATGATTAAAGGTCCCCTTAGTTCTACTTCATCTCGTGGTGATATTGCTTCGCGTATCTTTAGTGGAGAATTTAGTGAACAATACGAAGAGGTTTTTAATTTCATTATTTATGAAAAATTTATAAATAATGCAATCGTTTTTTATTTTTAAACTTCTTTCTTTGATAAAAAATTGGTTGCATTGTTTTTATTTATTCTTTCACATATCAATTTTTTTTTAAAAAAATATAAATGTTCACTCTCGGTTTATAGAGTCTTGGTCACTTACGTGATAAAGTAGCAGAGCTGACACTTCAACTACGTGAAAAATCTATTGAAGTCGATCAATTGGTAGCTGAACTAGAAAGAAACACATTAGCACATTCTACTTCTGTTCAAGATTTTGAAGATGAAATGGACAGAATGGAAGGCCAATTCCAGGAAGAGACTGCTTTATTGAGAGATGTGAGTAGCATCATTTTTTAAGTGCTTTCTAGTAAACAAAAAAAATTTTTTTTTAGGATATTTACTTGTTTGAATTTATTCGAAGCAATTGGATGAACTGCAAAATGAAAATGATCAATTAGTATATGAGCTTGAGACATTAGACCGTATTTGCCAAGAAAGTGATATACGTTATGAAGAGTCGAAGGCTCAATTGGAAAATCAGCAACGTGAGATATTGGAATTGTCTCAATCAGTTGAAAAGGTAGATTATTTTATTATAATTTATAAATCATCAAAGTATCATAATTTATAAATCACCAAAGTATTAACAAATATCTTTAAATGTATCACGATTTTGTTAGGATCAAACTGAATTAGAAAACAAATCAAAGGAGTTGATAAGCATGACAGAATCTCTGAAAAAGGATAAAGAAGCTTATGAAAAAGAACTCGAAAGGTTACGTAAAGAAAAGAAAGAAAGTGAAAAACAATATGAACAGAGAATAATCGAGTTAAATGAGGTTGGATTTTTTGAATTATATAGTTTAAAATCCGTTTTAATAAAAGTTATCTTTAACAACCATTATGCTTTGATTTCATTGATATGATTATATAGAAATTGTCAACTGCACAACTGCAAATAGCAGATGTTAATTTAACGATTCAAGAACGTGATGCAGATCTCCAATATGTTCGACAACAACTCGGTAACCAGACTAACCGAACGAAAGATACTGCAGATCGTTATGTGAAAGAGCATGAAAGGCTACGAGTGGTACATCTAAAAATTTCTGTTTAGTCTTTAAACATCGCATTTATTATTAAGTGATTATGATTACTTTCATGTCAATGACAAATTTCGAATGTTTAATTAGGAATTGGATACCATGCGTCAAGAATCAGAACAATTGCGCACTCAATTAGAAATTGTTGGTGATGAGCTCGAAAATAAAAAAACATTCATTATCGAATACGAAAATGAAATTAAACATTTGGTATGAAGCCCTTTAAATGATTAAATGATTGATATGTTAAGTAATGCATTTATTGATTTTCTTATTATCAGAACAATATTCGTACAAAATTAAACGAAAAAATAGTGGCAAGCGATGCCGTTAGATCGAAATCGGAGGAAATTATCCGTAACTTGCAAATGGTACATCTTATTCGTAGGCTGCTAATTGTGATCATGGTTCATTAATAATGTACTAATATTCTTTACAATTCCCACTTTATTCAATTTAGGAAATTCGAGACAAAAATTCTACCATTGATGAGTTAAGAGCGCAAATTGCCTATCTCGAAAACCGGATTAAAGAATTAGAATACAGGGAAAAGGAGACAGGAGAAAGGCTCCAGATTGAAAAACAAAGTGCCAAAGAAAAGGTTGAATCTTTAATTGAAAATATAAAGTACATATATATATATATATTTCGTTTAATATTTGCCAATACGAATACAATATAATTTTATTTGGTATTTCTAATTGACTTTAATGAATATGTAGAGACATTGAAAATCAATTACAAGCTCAGAATCGTAGGAATACTCAATTGCAAGAAATGATTTCTATGCAAAAGGCTTCAATGGAGGAGGTAAAAATATTACTTTCAATTTGTTATGTAAACTTGTAAATATATGTTAACTTAAAATATACATACTTCAGGCTACAAATGAATCAAAGGTTAGGGAAGCTAAGGTAGAAAATACATTTGCAATGTTAAATGAACAGCTTCGCGAACAATTGGATGAAAAGAATAAAACTATTGAAAATGAGCGACGGAGAGTTAAGAATTTAGAAGAACAAGTGAGACATCGTACTCTGAATTTGATGTCATTCTTGTATCTGAAAGTATATACTTATGTTGTATCGATTCATATGTAAATAGTTTTCTAGCATGCTTGAAGAACAAAAACGGCTACATTCACAGATTGAACGGAGAGAAACCACAATTAACAAAGTTCTCAATGGACTACAAGTACGTGTAATTTTAAGTTCCTTGTTTTAATTTAAGGCCAATTCTATTTTGACCCGGGTTAAAGTGACCCATCATGTGACCATATGCCCAAGATATCTCAACAACCATCAATAAATCTTTTTTTATTTGAATTCTATGGATTCATAGAATTTGAATAAAAAAATTTTCTCCAAATTTAGTCAGAAGTTATCGAGAAAACTTCGCTCAAGGTTGAAAAATCAAAACGCCTATAAAATAGAAGTTGCAACAAATTTTTCTTTAACTTTTATCGAATATATCTCGACAACCATCAAACCAAATTCGATAAAACTTTTTTTGCTTGAATTATATGGATTCATAGAATTCGTATAAAAAAAATTTCATCGAATTTAGTCGGGAGTTCGCCATGATATCTTCGCTCAAAGTTAGAAAAAATCAAACCGCCTATAATAATAGAAGCTGCACTAAATTCTTTTTAAAGCTTTGATCGAAGATAACTTGACAACCATCAAACCAAATTCGATAAACCATTTTTTATTTGAATTTTATGGATTTATAGAAAAAATTTCCATTGAATTAAGTCAGGTTGTTGTTGAGATATCTTTGCTCAAAGTTGGAAAAAAAAAGACAACCATTTAACCAATTCGTTAAAACGTTTGTATTTGAATCTTATGGGTACATATAATTGAATAAAAAAATTTTCATCGAATTTAGTCAGGTGGTTTTCGAGATATCTTCGCTCGAATTTATAGAAAAATCAAAATGCTTATCAAAATAGAAGCTATGCCAAATTTTCTTTAATTTAAGCAAAGATATCTCGACAACCACTTGGCTAAATTCGATGAAAATTTTTTATTCGAATTCTATGAATCCGTCATGTGATGGGTCACTTTGACCCAGGTCAAAATAGAATTGGCTTAATTTAATCTTGCGAAAAATTTAAAAATTAATTTTGAATGCAGATGATCAACCAACGCAAAGATGTGATGGAAAATGCGGCATTGAAAAATATAACAGAGGATATGCAAATTACGTTGTCACTTGACCGAAAACCCTCATACCAACCTCCCGTTTATATTAATCCGCCTTGGAAACCGGCTGGCACCAATCTTAACGCTAAAAAAACTGTAGTGAAAAATCCATCAACTAAATCATCATCCATTCCAGTTTCTTTAAAATCAAAAGGTGTAAGTTCTAATAAATCATTAATACCGACACCTAGTGAAAAGTAGCAAGCAAAAAATATTGTTTTTATAAAGCTTGAATTTTATGTAACAATATTTCATTTTCATTTTTATTTTTTTGTAAAAAATTTGTTACACTGTGCATGTCAGAATTTAAATAATAAATTTTACCGTTTAATGAATTTACTGAAAGTATTTTTAGAAGATACAACAATAATCTCGAATGGTTTATCTTACTGTATCAATAACGTTAACATTGACAGTGTAAAAAAATCAACATGTCGATATGTTTAAGTCATTTGATTGTGTCGAGAAAACGTCGATGTTGGAACTTTTTGTTTCTTAATTCATGCTTTATATTTAGGAAAATCGGAAGTACATAATACTCAGGAAAGATGGGCAATGTAATTGATCTAAAAAATTTAAATCTTTGTACTATTATTGCTTATTACGGCTTGATCCACAAGCGCGTAATTCTGAACTTAAAATCTGCTGTCAAATTTCATTTTGCAAATTCACAATTCCTTAATTATTACATAATAAATTTGATAGACCACAAAATTGTCCATCCTTAGCTTATGGAATAAGCCGCTGAATTTTAATTTAAACAAAATTTAATCTTTAAAACAAACTGCTGACTCCGATGTAAAATATTACTTGATAAATTAAAATTTTATTATATATTGCTTATAATATGAATGTTAATCAGCGTCAAAATGATACTGAGTCAACAGACTCTGCATAATTTACTCCATGATGATATCAAATCAATTCGCGATCATCTGATAACCTACCCAACCTCTATCTAGGAGGTCGTAAAGTTTGCCCTTCTCCGGGAAATAACGGCACAGACTAAAAATAGATATTATTAAATTAATTCTTTCCTATAGCAAAAAAAAATCAAGGATTCTCAAAATTAATCAATAATATATACATCATCCGCTATTCCTTGCTTTTTTTCACCAAAAGGTACGACTTTATAACCAAAGAATAACTTTCCGAACGGCAAATTTAGGGGAGCTGGTATATTTTCATTTAAATCATCTATACTTGAATTTGCACTAAAATAGATAATTAATTAATTAATTAATTGAGTCACAATAAATTAACCTAATGCGTTAAATCATTTACTGTTTGTAACTTAAACCTGGAATTTGAAGTTGAAGCAGACGATGCTGCCTTCACTGCCTTTCCATTCAAACGTTGCCCACTACCTCGAAATGCAGACCATCCTGTAGATTCGATTGATGGTTCCTCTATCTTGATCTTGTTCGCCTAATGTATACATGTAATGATAAGTAACTTTGTAATGTTTCACTCTTAATATATATTCTGAAATCAATGTACCATAGTATTTTTTGGTTGCGGTTTTTCGACATATCCTACTGGTGGTGCAAAGTCGACCTATTTGTATCTAGGCATTTAATACTGAGAAATGATGCACACAAGTAATTTTCCCCAGTAAAATTTCAACATTACACACCTCTAAATCTGTTTCTACAATAGAGATACCATTGTTCAAAGGTTTTACCTCCAATACTAGGATTTCGTAAATCTTATTATTATAATTAATTTGGATGATATCGCCTTGTGTTAAAGTGGAGAAATTACGTAACGCATTTTCAAGTCTATTTTAATAAGACACAAGATGAATTACGAGAAAACAATAGAGATATTATAAGTTAATTTCAACAATATATATATATATTTACACAGCTTTCGGATCACTAATGTCCAAAAAATCAACAGTTTGTGGTTGAATCTTGACATAGCTGCCCAAGGGCAATGATGCATTTTTTATTTCGATAAGATCTCCCTCTTCCAATAATAGAGTTTGCATCATCTAATTATCAAATTGATTTTTGCGTGAGTTTATTATTAAGTGATAAATCATAAACCTTTTATCTATTGAGTTAAAAACTTATGTTTCTCTAATTACCCAGAAGGGTAAATATACACGACCCTCTTCTGCAATGAATTCGAGCACTCCAGCATGCGAATGACTCTGCTTTACATTATTTCGTAACTCAAACAACATAGGATAAACAATATTCAAGCTGGCTTTATATGACAATGTGAATTAGTAAATTATATTAGGATAAAGTAAAATATTGTATGAAATACCTAATTTTGCTAGCGCAGAAGGTGGTAAAATGACTATGAATGCAAATTAAAGAAATAAGTGATTGACTCAGTGATTTAACGATTTCCTTGAAATTTTAGACATGGCAATTTTTATTAAGACTTGAACACTCACTTTTCCCTCCGAAGTTCACGTTCTGTCTTTCGTTTCCTTGCATCATAACAACCGGGTAACAACGGTACATTTCCACGAACCCACGGTTTGGGTTTTGTAGGCCGAACCCGAACTGCTCAAATTCATCGTAACCATACTGCTGTGAATTAGATCAAAGTTTTAGTAAATCGTCTTGAAACAATCTACCACCATTTATTTGACTTAGATTTGTTGTTACCATTATGAAGATAGTAATATATTAAAAGAATTTTTCTAAAATTACCTGAAAAGGTTTTTTATCTGTTTTATAGTACGTACGTGTACGCACGTACGTATATACATACGTAATCCCGAAACTCGAACGGTTCGTGTAATTTGTGGAACCGGTTAAATCTCGAGCTGTTAAACAGCACGGTTTAGTCGGCTTTCGAGTTGGTTAGAGTCAAATTTGACTTCACTAATATCACATGAAATTTAAATAGATATGGCAAGAGCTTTCAATATATGGGGGTGAGTCAATAGAAATCAAGCAAATTTTTTATAATAAAATTTTTTTATAACTTTAAACAAGAATA